TAGACTTGGTTATCTCTGACTGCAGCTCTCAGTTTCTATTAAACTTCTGAAATGAGTTTACAGAAATTTTAGATATAAAATTGAAAACTCTTAACAGTATATTATATATATATAGATGAATAGACTGAGATAACAAATCAGTATATTATTACTTATCTTTACTCATATGTTAATTACTATCAAAATAATTAAGATAAATAATTACTTATTATAAATTATACTTCAATAGTTACTTTAAACATCTTCATTAATATCTTCTTCTCTTTAGCTGCAAATGAATATAAGTCATAGATATTATTTGATTGAAGACCTCTGTCAAAAAAACTAAATGCAGAAGAGAGAATAAATTGAAAAACTGCTCAAAGCTTTATTAACTAAATGAAAGAGATTTGAGAGCAGATAGAAAAGAGTTTAAAAATAATATAGAAATAGATAAAGAAATATATTAATAGATATCACTAAGAATTTAACTTCACAGTGAGAGATTCTATCTATTTGATATTAAAATCATACAAAATCGACTAATTAAGCTATAATCTAACAGTATAAAATATAGATATCTTCAGAATTTTAGAGAAAATAAATAATATTTATAGATTAAACCTCTTTATAATCATAAAGATTCATTCAATCTTTTTCTCAGACAAGTTGTACGAGAATTTAAAAGACTATCTATTAGAAAAAACTATTAAATCACTAGACTCTACTAAGATAGATAAAGAAAACAATTAAAAGATAGAGTATATATTAGTCAGTTGAATGAATTGAAGTAAAGTGTAATATCAAGTTCACTAAAAGAGATTTGATAAAAATTTATTTTGATACCCAGCTTATAATTTTAAAAAATCATCACACATCATATATAACTTTTATAAAACTAATTCTACAAAAGCTGAATTATTAAAATGACTAGATGAGTGACTGAAAGATAGATAATTATCTGAAGAATGAGATTGATGATAATCTATTAGCATGAGAATATATTTATTTCTAGACTGAAAGATGTTATTAAGCTTAGTATCTAACTGAGCTCTGCTGAGACTCAGTGCTCAATTAGACTCAATATTAGATTAGACTCAGTATTTAATTAGATCTAACATTTATTATATAATTATATAACTATATAGATTATTATAATCTGAGCAGATCTCAGCACTCTCTTTATCTTATCAAGCTTAATATTTTATTATATAGCAGTTAGCAACATAAAGAGTTTTCTTCTTATGCAGCTCACATTTATACTTTAATAAAATATTTCTTTAAGTTTTATTTTATAATAATTAAAAATAATTATAAAGCTTTTTTACTCTTCTTATTAAATCTCTTTTGCATAGTCTGATACAGAAGCTATATAAAATATATATAATTATATCATAGCTTAAAAAAATAACTTTTTTTCTATATTAGAAAGTTGAACAATATTACTATATGAAGTCACTGACTTCTGTTCATTCTCTTTATCAAATTTAATATTTTTTTAATCTTTCTCTAAGTGCTCTTTATCTGTTCTGAGATAAATTACTCACTTAGTTAGATAAAATATCAATTTTTGATATAAAGTTATATATTTTGCACAATTAGTCACTTTTATTTCAAAATGATATAATGCTAATTCAGTTCAATTATTAGTAGAAAGATATTTTTATATCTTTGTTTACTTATTCAAAGATTTAAAATCAATATATGATTAATCATTTTATTTTAAATTTTATTATATCTCTTTATATAGTATTTAAATATAAGTTTTTAAAACTTTTTATTAAAGGGTTTTATCAACTTTATGATATATTAAGTGTCAATAAAATTTATATTATTTACTTTAGTATCAGCAAGAAAATTAATGAAAGTAATAATTTTATTATAGACTAATTTATTTAATATATTAAAACTTTTTTTAAATCAAGTTCTTCATATTAAATCTCTCATATACTATTGAGGAATTTGAGATGAAGATTTTTTTTAAATTTAGTTTTTTCTTAATTTGCTGAAAGTTTAATAATATCATTCTCAATGAACTTAGTGATTATCTATTAAGACTTCTATTTTATAAAATAGTTTTGAATAATATAATTTTTTTATCTTACAGCAATAGCACCTGAATATCTAAGTAGAAGTTTATAGATTTCTTTACTATAGTAATTAATTTTAAGAAGCTAATAAGTATTTAAATATTTAAAATTTATAAAATACTCTATTTTAAAATATTAAATTATTACTTTGTAGATTTTTTGATTTCTAAGTGATATTAATTATCTAAAAAGTATCAGTTATCTGAGTATAGATCTTTTGAAACTCAGTATATATATCAGTTATTGTATTGGTTACTGTTATTATTCTCTAAAAATAAAAAAAACTTATCATTAAAGTCAGTCTTATAATTCTTTTTGATAATCTTAATTTTATCTATCAGATGTAAAAACT